ATTATCTAATTCGTATCAATATATAAGCGTTATTTTTAAAATTTATTTTTTAACTCTAGAGGAACATTTAGGATGGAAAGAGAAGACGGATATTCATTTGATTTTGTAGAATACCACATTTTTCTTTGGAATCGAAGGAAAAAAGCCATCTACACTTAAAGTAGAAATCTGATTTCAAAGGATGGAATGATAATTATAAGCAATGACTAGCCAGTTAAATATATAACATTTTTTTAGATGACTATGTAATGTCAAGTGCGATTGATGAACTTGACCTGAATGTAATTTCTTGTGATTTTATTCTAAAAGCAAATTAGATAACTAATTAAACAAAAAAAGTTAAAAATTATTAATTTTAACTTTAGATGTTAATAAGAGTAACAAAACAACGTTATATATTATTTTATTATGTAATTTTACTGTTTCAAAAGAATTTGAAATTTATCAATTTAGAGGAAGCACGTCAATTCTGGGGTAATTATTGATGATTGACTGGAAATGTCGGAAGTACATAAAGAAACAACAGAGAATGTTCGCGTTACTGTTATATATATGTAATATATATACCATTTACATGGTACCATTTACATGGGTTTTCAATATAATAGTCATGTGAGTTTGCAAGCTTTCTTAGTGGTTATATGTGGTATGATTATCTAATTTTTATCAATATATAAGCGTTATTTTTTAAATTTTATTAATAAACTCTAACTCGACAAGAAATCTTGTAATCTTGTAATACATATTAATATAATTACTGGTTAATATAAAAAAAAATAGCTGCTTAATTATTAATAAACTCTAACGCGACAAGAAATGTAATACATATTAATTGTAATAGTTGTTGGTCACTGATATTCCGCTTTTTGTTCCGCCTCGACCACGATTATAAAAACCGCCTCGACCACGATTATAGAAACCGCCTCGACCAAAATTGCGACTCCCACTCTTTGCGTTTGCCCGCTCTTTTCCATCTTTTGGCTGTAACAGAAAAAATTGTTTAAAATAATTATTTATTTGTTTATAAATTTGCTACAAAAATTAAGTTATGTAACTTTTAGTTGCTATACTTACGTTGTGCCGCAGTCTAATGTTTTTGTGGCATTGTATATATCTTTACGCGCGCGCGAATTGCACTCAAGTGCCTCACTCAGTAGCAACCTAGCCTTAAACCTTAAATCTCTTACACGTGCAAGGTAAAACGAGTATTCTAGCAGCTGAAAATCAGTTGGATTTCGATTGTTCTCGTGTTTCTGTCATGCGAATGCTCTACCGGTTATTTTGACGTAACAAGAACGTTATGAGTAAATAACGCTCTCGCACAGTCGATTCCGATTCCATTGAGATAAATTGTGTCATTCATTGTCGGTACGAAACTAATAAGCCATCGTGCCGCGAGCGCAGTTCTCCCTCTCTCTTTTTCTCTTTCTCTCTTCGTCGATGCGCTAGCTTGCTATACACATGGTGCACTCGGCCCGAACAATGCATAACAAGCATTGTCTCTTCGCTCCGCCCACCAATTCCATACCACGCTACATTGCTTTTATATCTCTTACTCTGGTTATTCAGCCGCTTTACTCACGTACACGTGCGGCGCACGGGGGCGCTTAAAAAAATATTACCTATCGCTAAGCAATGCGACCGGCAGCCGTGGACACAAGAATAGGCATAAGAATAGATACGGACGCGCATATAACGTGTAAATCTTGAATGGTTGAAATTTGACGTGTGGAATTCGATATCTACATGGTAATCGCGTTTTAATCCGACAATTCTTTTTGTATAGGTTTCTTTTTCCCTCTGATTTTGGGGATATTTTGCAGAAGCGCTATTATAATTATCCGATTGGAAATGTGCGAAAAATTCGATTGGTGCTTTGCAAACAAGTATCTTGTATATATGCATTTATGCGCTTGTCTCTTTTTCTCGAACTATCTTTTCTTCAGCGATTACGTGCCAATCGCTCCATTCAGACAAGCCCATTAACTGTTGCGCGCTCGATAAACAATCTCCGTCTTATCGGTGAGCGCGCCACGCCGTTCGGTCCTTGCGTCGTATCTCGTTCGCATGGTAGCCGATCGAATGACAAAGAGCCCGGCGGTGTAACACAGTGCAACACTCATCCATTGTTGCGCAAAGCGGTCGTTATACGGCCGACAGCATTATCGTCGAGCGTATCGCGGCATTCTCGGAATCGCCACCCCCTTCTTTTTTTTCTTTTTTTTAATTAGAATCGTTAAGTAATTTTTCCCCCTTTGTGATGCACGCGCGCGTTACACGCATCGTTTTCGTCGAAATTCGAGCAAATATCGATTCCGCCGTTCAGTTGCAGCTGGCCGAACATGTGCGCGCCTCGATTGTTCGCCCATTGTTTAGCATCCTCGTGTACACATGAATTACCGATCGCCGGCCCTCGAGAAGATCAAACTCTGCGTCTCTCCTTTCTTCTCGAGATACTCATACGCCGGCCCTCGAATTATTTGCTTCATTTACGAGTACCGAGAAAGTAAATTCTTTCTGAATTAAATTTTTTATCGTTCAATTTTCCTTTACATTATACATCGTCCGCAGATGTTTATGCGCTAATTTGTTGTTATATTTTAGAAAGAAATGTTTTCTCTCAATTATAAATCAACCCTTAGTCCATAATCGCCCATGTGAGTCCGCTTCGAGGAGACGCGCTCCATTGCGTAAAAACCCGCCGTAAAAAATGAGCATATGTTACACTGTTTGAGACCGATTTTTACTTCCCGTTTTGTACGCAGGTGGAAGAACGTTTCCCATGAGCCTCCTTACTTATCATGTAGACACAGGTGGCTGTCCGCCAATGCACTTTGCGCTGCTGTGTAGACGCGTATGTAAACTGCCAAGTCGTTCGAGAACCGTGCAAATGTTAACTACTATCACTGAGCACATGCTCGAAGTCCCAGGATTTGCTGGGATTAACTCTCTCAATAACGAGTTATTATTAAAAGAATAATCTAACTTTATCACTTTATCTGAGTTTAATCACACGATTTCTTTCGATTATTCTTCTGGCCTCGCGTCAGTCGCGTAGTTATCTACATTTGGCATCTATTTAGATTAATGTTATTACTATCTCGATCAAAGTAAAATATATTTTGTCGCAAAAGCGTAATGTGAATGCGGAAGATTTGCATGTTAAAAATTACAATCCCAATTTTGAAAAGTTAAACATTGAACGATATTTATATTTTATTACGCTCAATATTACTTCATATTGTTTGAATGTGGAGCAAACAGGATATGCAGTTACAAGACATCAACGTGCGAATATTAATTACTCAGATACCGGCGTTCCGCGAAGGATTCATGTTTTCGTGCGGCGCACGATACACTCGCCTCTCGTGCTTATCACAAACGGCTTTGCCATGTGACGCTGTGTGTTACTTGCTCCAGCTTATCACGCATTCAGCAGCTAAGAAATTTATTTACACGGCCGGTCGTAATTATAATGTAATCGACGTCAGTGTCGCTAAAGCGGCCGACAGTGGAAAGGCGGGCATCGGACTCGAATCGATTTCCAATAAATCAGGGGGAGGCCGTTGGCGGCCCGACGCTTTTTAGTATGCGCATATTAAACGAGACGCGGCACGCGCATCTATCTTCTCTTTAGGCTGCAAGATGCGCACGCGCCTTATCGAATATTTATTCCATATCGCTCGTCGTTCTTCGCGCGTCTGTTTCCCAATTAGATCTAATGTGTCTCGCAAAAGTTCAAAGCTACATCTGTGCAATTAACATTCAATTCTACGCGCGGGCAACATCTCAATAGAGACGGCGAATAGCATAATTGGTTAGTTAGCTATCTAATTGAGGAGAGACGGGAGTATATACGTTGTAGAAAAGAACTATCCTACACATGTACAATCGTTCTTTTTCTTCTTATCAAAAAGATAAGAATTATCTTGATCTGATTTGTCTGGCTTTACACCCTTTTTCCGGGGCGTTTTTTTCCGTCTGTTTTTCAATTTACTACGATTCCTTTATGAATAGTTACTATTAGTTACAAGTCACTCACACTCGAAAATAATTTATTACTTAAATAGAATTCCGATTCTCTCTGAGCTGGGAGTTAGAGAAATAAATTAAATTAAATTGAAAAAGAATAGAATTGCGCACGCGCCGTGGACTTAGCGTCGCGACGGCCCCGGACGGTTCGGGCCGGAAGTCAGATTATTAAACTGATTTTTTATTTCTGATCCGGGCGGGTGAAAATAATAATTTGTATTGTATTGTGTAGCGTAGCAGCAAGATTGCATAATACTCTATATTACTCTTTGATAAGTTCTTTATCCTCCTTTTCATTTTATTCGTTCTGATGATGCACGCGGAGCATGCGCCGAGAAAATCATGTAATCGCGGGCATTTTATCTATTATCTTGGCTTCTTCTTACGAACAGCACACCGACAAGAACGTTTCGGTATGCGACAAGCAGACAGCGCCTTTCAGAGCGTTGGCGCCGATACCAAACCGGTAGAAGCAGGTAGTCCATCTACGTCTTCGCGGTGTCGTATGACGATGACTACGACGTGTCCTGCACTACGTACTGCGATTTTATGCGATTGATCGATTCGGCGAACCGCTACCCAACGTGCGATGTAGGATGTTTCAGACTTATTGCAGAATATTTTAGGGATGCATGCTTTTATCCGGAGTGAATTTTTTTATTAATTTTACTTTGCACAAGGGTGTCGTTACGACGATACGCTGCAAAGTAGAAGCGTTTTGCAAGTCATAAATAGATAACAAAATTTATTGCGCTTTTTGGAGTCAGTTGTATAAGAAATATGAAACTTCGCCATCGATAGCGGAAAGAATTTCGACACTATTTCTGTCGATACTTGAACTGATTAAATGTTGAATAATGCGATCAAAGGCCACTATCGATACGAGGTTAATAGCACCGTTCTGATAATGAAGTGCGTAGATCTGAGACTCGTTTCTCTTCTCTCTCGCGATTGTCTTCGGCTTCAAGATGCACTACTTCACCTATTTCAACGTGACACGTTCGTTACAGTGAATACTCTTTATCTTTGTATAAACCGTCGACCGTTTACTTTTGCCATGTTATATTTGACAGGTGTGTCAAGAGTAAAGACTGTGTTGATTTCAGTCAATTTGTAAAGAAATTTTTTAGAATTCTTAATTTTGAACGCCTCAAATATCTTAGATGTTGCATATTATTTGTATTATGTTTTTCTTAACTTTTAGCTTTTTGTCGACCACAAGTTTTCAGAAACATTTCGGCAGTTATAAATGTTATAAATGTTTTTCGAACAAGTCACGAAATTGCAAAATTCCTTTGTTCGTGATTCATAGGATTCCGTGAGGATGAAGAGGGGCAACAAGAGCACTCAGTAGCATGCGGCATCTTACGCTCAGGAGGAGTACCAGAGAATTATGTCCTTATTGTATGTTAATAGGATTCTATCGCATGAGTCACTTGTAAAAATAACACTCGGACCTTCGCCGGCAATTCTTTTCTTTCTGATCGGTATTTTCTAGTTTGTGGAACTCGTATCTTAGACGGAGTCACAATCCGGAGTCGCTTTGTAGTCCACCGATGCCCTCATTATGCGTCATTGTGAAAGTCCACGATCTAAATCCGAATCAGGACATGAATGGTTTCCTGGAACTAACAAGGGAATCTCGCGAACCCGGAAATTCTAATCTCAATGAAGTTTTGCACAGATAAAATCGGACTTTGTTTTTGCGCTTTAAATTCACCTGAGCCTTCGTAAATTTGGGTTCTTAATTTTCGGTGGCACTTCTTTCAACTTTTCGTACTCACTATTCTTATGACTGTTTTTGCATGAAGAGTTCTAAGTGTTTGAAAAGGTGGAAATCCGTTGGAAATGCCGAATGAGTAAGATGGATGCGGCAAAATCTCATAACTTAGCTCAGTTAATTTTTTAACAGTGTTTTGAGAAGCGTGTGATCGAGCGTTATCGTATAGTAGAATTAATCTCTGTTTATCAGTCTTGGCTGCTTTGATCTCAATTTTTCGTGCATACGATCAATTCCCTGACAATAGAAGTTTGTAGTGATGGTTTTCTTGCATATTAATTATCGTATATCATTAATAACTTACATATTAATTGATAACTATATCCAAAGATCGTAAAAATCTGGGCGTGATACGCTAATAAAGATTGTACGATATACTTAAAATCTCACTCTTATTATATTATTTGTAATTTTTGATTCAACAATTGCTAATTCATAAGGAATTATATTACTAATTTTTGTTAGATCGTGATTAGAAAGAAAATAACTTTCGATATTGCTCAGCGACAGATATTAAGCAAAAGATTGTACCTTAATTGTACGGTGCTGTACAACCTTTATTGTACGATCGGCGTATAATAATCTCAACAGATAATTAATGGCTTAGATATAATGCAATGCTAGTTTATCGCCAAGCAACGCTGCATTTTGTGGCATTAAATATGAACTACTTTCGATAGATGATGTTGCAAACCATGTACGTCACAGCTTTGCCTTTCTTTAATTTTTTTTAAATGATAGAAAGAGTTACGGAACGAGGAAAGATGAATTCAAGCGCGGCAAAGGATAGAAAATTTAACGATTTTTATTTTTATATTTATCTCTTGCACTTTTTTATAGTAAAGCGTATAAAACGCCTGTCAACGGAAGAAAAGCATTTGTAGGGCAATTTGAAGAATTATTATCTACTTGAACGTTTGAATTTATTAAACACGTTGCTATTAATATGTAAAAATGTGTCTAAAATATATTTCTAAGGTTATCGTCCACTCTAACCGAGAACCTACTGAATCATAGATTTAAAAAACCTACTTTGTGGACAAAAGAAGCTTTAGAGAATTCAGTCACGCTGCATAACACCGTTTCCCTCTTTCTCAATCGATGGTCGCGACGATCTTTAAGTTCGACAAAGAACTCACGCGCCACGTTCCACGAGGAGGATCCGCTCCTCGCTTCCGTTCGTCATGAAACGTTGGCTATACGTCCGAGCGATCCGTATCCGTATGAATTTAGTTATGCGAGCCGCCAATACATATTCATGGCGGAATTCATTTGCTGGGAACCACGAGGAGGACAGCGTCTCATCATGCTTGGTCCACTCCTTTTCTTCCCCGCGCCGTTTGTCTTCGAAGACTCGCGCTACGCTCTATTCATTACGGTTTTACATTGAATCAGCATACATCGTGTGGCGTCCTGGTATCGATATACTTCGTATGTGACGCATATTTAGCAATCGATCTCGAAGCGGACGACGAACCGCCCAGAGTCGCCCGTGAAGAATAAAACATGAGGAATTTTCATTTCTATGTTACGCTATGACTACGCGATGACGACGGTGCCTTGAATTCTTTCCCGTGACGTGACCGCTATTTTCAATTCAGTTTACGGAATTTGATTTTGTCGTAAATGTAAAACGCGTCTACACAATACATCGTGTAAAAGTGATCTGATAAAACACAGTTTCGTTTGAAATAAGGCGTGCTATCTTTTCAAACATTTGCGATTTTATGTCTGTTTAATATTTTTTCTTCGTTATTGTTTGTTAAAATCATGTTTATGTTAACGCACAATATTGAAGTAAAAAAAATACGAAGGAGGGTTTCAAGTTGTAGGAGCCTCGGTTGCTAGCTATCGGCTGCGTTTAACGCGTGGGAAGGAAGGCGTGTGAGACTCTGAAGGTGTTTAACCGGGATCCCATCGTCGCGGCAATTGTTCAATTTAACGATCATAATGGTCGTTCACGCGGATTACCGAACGTTGTCTTAAGGGCTGTTAAAGTCGCTACTTAAGTGCCGCAGAACGAATGAAGGTCCGTGCAGAGTTTCGTCGTCTTGTTTACTGCCTCTTAAAGAAAAAGAAAAGATGGTGTCCAGCACCGACAGTGACGCCGTATCGGTGCCTCAATTTTCATAACCGACCCAGTTGTACGTACGTTATATGTAGGCCCAAAAGATGGTGGTCGCGACGTTTAAAGAGCGCAAACGCCTAGCAATATTCCAAAAAAATTTACAATATATCGGACGCATTCGGGGAAAAGCTGTTATCGATGTAATCATCGTGGTCGTCAAAGTTTGGTAATAGTTTTTTTTAGTGCCGTAAAATACGCGTTGCCGCATAAAATACACATCGCTTCGGGCAAGAAAGCGCAGTGCGCAACATAGTATGCGGCTTACCAATGTACACATGTACATCACGTTCGTGTACAGGAATAGCATGTTGTGATCAACGGAACATTTCATTCACTGCAATATACCACGCGGCAAAAAATGAAGTAACATTTTTCTCAATTAAGCAATAGAAGATTTTAATAAATGGCATGTGGAAAATATTTTAGCAACAACGTTATTTTTTATCCGGCGCGGAGCCAGTCTTCGAAGGGGTCACAGGGTCGGCGATGTCGTGTCTCTGTTTTGCAACGCGTAATTACCGACAACGGGCACCGAGGCACGCCGGAGTGCACGGCCGAGCGAGCGAGCGAGCGAGTGAGCGCGCGCGGCATTAGACGGTTTTTTATGCGAGCGCGTAACGAACGGCGTTTTGCATATTCTACGGCGAGTAGTGGCAGCAACAGCAGCAGCCGCGGTAGCAGCAGCCACTGCCGCAAGCGTACTATGTGTCTTCGCTCGGCGCATGTTATGCGCTGCCGATATGTGCTGTTGCTGCTGTTGTTCTTTCTGCCATTGCTCTTGCCATCACTGCTGCTGCTGCTGCTGCTGCTGCTTCATCACGCGCGACGAACTGGAAAGTGATAGTTCGCAGTCTTAAAGATACGGCCGATCGTCGCTTATAATCGGGATGCCAAACGCGTGCTCGAACGTGAGCGAGCTTCAGGGATATACATATAGCGTCGTCGCGCTTCGATCGTTCTCTAACTGAAGATGTTTAAGTAATGTATCGCGCAGCGTGATGAATAGAGCATTTTTTAAAGTTTAATATTTTCACGTCTCCTTTTTAATATAATGATACAAATTTGAATTTTCTCTCGTTAAAAACAATATTCTGCAAGTTAGTTTTCATTACATAAACTTCAGGCATACTTTCTTATGTCGATATATCTCACTCCCAAATTATTATACACTTTTACAAAATCTTCGCGGAATGTTCTCGCTCTTCTTAGACGCTGCGCGCCATCGGCACTGCGGCGATATGGCGTTCTCGATGCTCACCGTGCAGGTAGCCGTTATCGTTTCGTTGAATCACGTAAATCACGTACCGTTGTAAAACGCGGACCAGTTCTTGCGTGCAGGTCTGGAAGGACGTGTGCACGTGTATACGTGGTGTGCTACGTCGCTGCGATGAAAACGCCGATGCGGAAACAAGGATCGCGCCAGTACCCTAGCAGTTCCCGGCCCCACGCTCGCTGTTGCATTTTCATTTAGAGTCTAGAATATCTAATGTTGAATTATCGTTTGCAGAAGCGATAGGATGAATCGGCTATTTGCATTTTGTATTTCTAGCATAGTAAATTAATAATTAAATGTTATGATTATTTTCCTTAGATACATGTCAATTATTAATTAATGGAGATTGTAAAAGTTAATCATATCTTTGAGGAAGACATCACTTTCGTTCATATTAGTAGTAGAATCATCAAGGTTGCTCAAATCTGTGATTGATTCATCCGAAAATTCACTTTCATCAAGTTCTTCAACAGGTGGTGTGAAAGACTTTTATAGATTATTTTAATTGAATGAATACTTTTATAATAAATATTAATTTATCATAATTTTTTTTATTAATTTATTATTGTAGAAATGATTTTCTTTTAATTATGAGATGTAATGTTTAAGCAGAAAGTATTGTAACATCGAGTAGTACTCAATGAAAGAAATTATGCTCTGTTCCATTCAAGATTAGCTAATAAAAATGGAAGCGCATTATTAGCGTGATCTTTGCGGTGCCCTGCATCTAACAATTACCGATGATTGGCAGTAGCTATGGTAAATCACGTAACAAGGCGCATAAATATCATTGGGTTAAAACTGCTTGCAACAAAGCGGCCGATACATTTTCTAAGCTAGAAAGCGAATAATATCCACACAATCGCAAACGGAATGAATAATGTTCGAGAAGACAGCTAATGTTATTTCACCTAATGATATATGATTAATTTTTCCTCAAAGATATAATTCCACGTGAGAACAATAAATGTGATACACGACGAAATATGGTACCCAACATTGATTTAGGCAAAGAATATAAAAGAGTACATCACATGTTGATGAATTTTCGGATGAATCAATTACAGATTTAAACAATTTTGATGATTCTACTACTAATATGAATGGAAGTGATGTCTTCCTCAAAGATATCATTAACTTTTACAATCTGCGTTGATTAATAGTTGAGATGTGTCTAAGGAAAATAGTCATGACATTTAATTATTTATTTACTAAAAATACAA